TTTTTTCCTTCCATTTATTTCTACAAAGTACCCATTCATGGATACAGTTTTATTGTAATTACTTTCACATAACTGACCAATCTATGGAGAATTTAATCTGCATTCAGGTTTAAAACTGAAGTCAGTTTGTCCATATTTGGATCTCTAGTTAAATTACTCAGGTTATTACTGAGTGCTTTGCTGACATATATACTTTGCTGAACAACATCTACCTCACAAATACATCTGAGCTACGATCAGACTGTTAGCTTCTGCTAACAAACAAAGAAGCACTAGGTAAAGCAATAGTTTGGCAAGACATTTACACAGTTTTCACAGTTTTTGCTCAACAGCACTGGGATCCATTGAAATCCAATCAAAAATATGTCATATCGCTAAACAGTAATGGTAACAATAATCAAGCCTTAATGTTGTCCGTTTTTATAGATAATAGTACGTCATATACTGCATAAGTCTGAAATCACATACGCAATTCAATTTGAGATTACTTAACAATTTGAGATTATCTAATGTAATAATTAGGCATACTAACTTGGGGATTATAAGCTTGCATTACCTGTTAGCTACATTAGCTTCATAGATTCAGTGTTAAACCAAAGTTCAGACACCAATAGTGTCTTGGCTGATTGAATACGTTTGTGGTAAGAAAAAAAAATTGTGTGAATCGGATTTTTCACTGAACTGTCTCTTTAGCTTAGCAGCATGTTGAATTGATGTCTGCATTTCCTTCAATCCCCTCTAGAGGGAGTAGCTGCATCAGTTAGAAAAGAGTTGCTCAGTCAGAACTGGGTCGGGGTAAGGAATTAAATGCTGTGTCCAAACCCACATATCATATCAGGGATCTATTTACAGAGGGCTTTACTAGGGTGGTCTTGGGGCCTGTTTCCCCATGAGAAATACAAAAAAGGCCATGGAATGTCTTTCCATCATGAATTGTTTTAAAACTGGGGCTATTTCTCTGGTTTGGCACACACGGCACACATCTCTTAATGGTTTGTTTTAGTATCTAATATGGCTTGAATGCAGTCCATCTACTTACAATCAAGCAAAAGCGTTGGAGTCAAGCAATGCTATCTTCTTTTTTTATATAAGTTTCAGGTGCTAAACATGTTATTCAAACACACGGGCTATAGATTGGTTCTTGGTCAGATCTGCTGCTTCAGCTTCTAAAGCCCCCTAAAACCCGGCCTGTAACATCTTTGTGCCATACTATACCTGGGTCAGTCTACAGAAACTTACACTTCCATAGGAGTCACTGGTGATACTGATTGTCACACATAAGAAAGGTAACACCAGAGACAGGAACACCAGTGACATTTTTAACAAAAAATGTATTTTGCAAAATGGCTGCTACAGATCATCAAACCACATGTTGTCAGTCATAGAATATCCACTAAAACATGAAATTTAATCCATTTGTTTTCTATTCTTTCACAATTACCTAAGAATAAAGTAGGTCAGTAGACTTCAGCTAAAAGCTTCATACAAAATCATGAGCTTAATGAGAAAATTTCTGATAACTGAAAGACACAGTGGACTCACCATGTGCTTTTCTTCATAGATCCTCAGAAAACAGGTAAAAGGAAGTCAGGTGATGTCATCAGTGTGATTTTTATTTCAAAATAAGAGAGATTTTGTTATGCAGTGACACCAGTGACACAACTACTGGGGACCACAACTTTCATAATATATATATATATATATATATATATATATATATATATATATATACATGGTGTTTTTTTTCTTTATGTCATTTATTTCATAGATTTCATAGTCATGTATAGATTATTGCAGTTATAATTGTAGAAAAAACTTTTTTTCTACCTGAAAATATGTCACTCAGCCTTTACACATGACTGTGAGGACGAGCACTTCTGTGGTGCTTAGAATTCTGCATAACCGATTTAAAGACCAACATTGCTAAATTGAGGCTCAAGAAGGCATAATTGTTCAAATAACTTATTGTTTTATTTTGAAATATAAATAAATTGTAACCCTATCATGTTTTTCCAGTGTAATTTATCTGTAAATCCTAGGGACACAAAAATGACCCACCTATTGTCACTGTCAGAACCTCATATCTCCAAAATGGTAACTTTAAAGGAGAAGCAAAAAACACTCTTAATATATAATGGATGTTAATGAAAATGATGTTTTCCAAGTAATTTTTCAAACATTTCTATCATTTCTATTGTTCCATTCATCATGAAACTTTAACCCAGTGGACACCTCCAAAGAAGCAAGTGTTTTCGGCCAAAAGTGAGTGACGTGAGTGATAATTTTAACCTTCATCATGCATTTACCTTCTCGAAACAGCAAACTTCATATTCAGTGTTACAGATTTTAATGTAGTTATGTTATAACTGAAGTTTGGGGGGAGGATCATGCCTGAAACCCCTTCTTCGTTCAATCTAACACCGTGTTCGCAGTCCCCACCATTACCCCATCTCCTCCCTGTTCCTTAGCACTACAGTCCTACCACAGCTATGAGGGAGGA